CCGTTACAGAAAAAATCACTCTATGCGAATCAGTGGAAAAATCCGATTCAAGAAGCCTAATTCAAAAACTAGAAGCCAAAAAAGTAAATTGCGCAGCACGATCTGACAGCCACTGACACTTCCGGCACTGTTTCTCAAAAATGCACACTCCAAACCGAAAAAAAATATCCAATCCCATTAAGGGAAAAATCACTATACGCGAATAAGTGGAGAAATCCGATTCAAGAAGCCTAATTCAAAAACCAGAAACCGAAAAAGTAAATTGCGCAGCACGGCCTGGGAGGCACTGTCACTTCCGGCACTATTTATCGAAAACGTATGCTTGAAACCGGAAAAAAATATCCAATCACGTTATAGAAAAGATCATTCTATGCGAAACAGAGGAAAAATGCACTTGAAATAGCATAATTCAAAAGCCATAAGCCAAAAAAGTAAATTGCGCAGCACGATCTGACAGCCACTGACACTTCCGGCACTTATTCTCGAAAATGCACACACGAAACCGAAAAAAAATATACAATCCCGTTACAGAAAAAATCACTCTACGCGAATCAGTGGAAAAATCCGACTCAAAAAGAATAATTCAAAAACCAGAAGCCAAAAAAGTAAATTGCGCATCACGATCTGACAGCCACTGACACTTCCGGCACTATTTCTCGAAAACGCATGCTTGAAACCGAAAAAAAATATCCAATCCCGTTATAGAAAAAATCACTCTATGCGAATCAGTGGAAAAATCCGACTCAAAATGCCTAATTCAAAAACCAGAAGCCAAAAAAGTAAATTGCGCAGCACGATCTGATAGCCACTGGCACTTCCGGCACTACTTCTCGAAAACGCATGCTTGAAACCGAAAAGAAATATCCAGTTCCGTTAAGGAAAAAATCACTCTATGCGAATCAGTGGAAAAATGCGCTTGAAATAGCCTAATTCAAAAGCTTTTAGCCAAAAAAGTAAATTGCGCAGCACGGTCTGAGAGCCACTAACACTTCCGGCACTATTTCTCGAAAACGCAAGCTTGAAACCGAAAAAAAATATCCAATCACGTTAAGAAAGAAATCACTCTACGCTGATAAATGAAAAAAAGTTGAGTCAAAAGCCTAATTTTAGAAATAGAAACCGAAAAAGTAAACTGCGCAGCACGATCCGAGAGCCACTTACACTTTCGGCACTATTTTTGGAAAATGCACGCTCGAAACCCCAAAAAAATATCCAATCCCGTTAAGGAAGATTTCACTGTACGCTGTTATGCCGAAAAAATCTAACCGAAGAGCCTAATTTCAGAAATATAGGCGAAAGAAGTATACTGTGTAAAACGATTTTACAGGCACTTGGTTTTCCGTTAGTTTGTTTCATATATGCACCTTCAATCGTAAAATAATTGCCCTACTGTTTGGAGAACAGTCTATTCTATGCAGGAGTAAGGAAATATCTTAATCCACAATCAAAATTTAGAATGTAATAATAGCGATAATATATAATTATGTTGCAATTGAACGTGAAGGTCGAAGAAAAATAGAAGAAATATTAAGAAGCTGCCTATTCAGTAATGTTGATCAAATATTCCAACGGGCAGCCGAAATCTAGAATCTCCTACGGCGGATTGTAACGGACAATGCGTTAGTATTATAGGATCCCGCACTCACACCTCTTTATTTTCCAAATGTATCGGTATATGATTTGCACTATGCAACATCACTTTTTTCACATGTAGTATATTACCACCGAAGAAATGTTCATAGTTAGTAATCTTGAACTTCGTAACCTAATTCAAACGTTAATCAGCAATATCACTACTTCATGAAACGTTTTGAGATTTAATATTTCACTTTGACGCGTAAGAATATTCCACCATTTGTTACCGGTATGCTTGCTTGCCGCCAACTGGAAGTTGGCTGCAGCCGGATGTGCTAGGTATTTTTGTAGCGGGAAAATGTTGCATCTTTGAAATAGCTATATGATAAAGTATCGATGTAAAATATCAAACTTTGTCTCTTATATTTAATAATGTTAATGATGCAAATATAGATATATTTCTGTTGCGAAAAATTCAAAATTTCTATAATTAATTTATAAACTGAAATTATTAATTATTCCATTTCACTAATGGAAACACAAACCATTAGTATCTTTGGCAATGGTTCAAACACTCTATGCAATAATCACCAATAATGAATTAAATAACAATGAATTCATACCCAGACTTATATTAGAAGTCTCGCTAAGGCTGTGTCTTCAGGATGCAATTATAAAAGTTGATGAATTAATTATAGACGAACATTAAGTCACAGATGAAAGCGAGTGATTTTGTTCTTGGTAAAAAGAAAATGAAACTACGATGGTTATATACTTAGGCACTTTTTATTCACTTTGGAAGTTTCACATATACACGTTAATTATTAACAACATAATTCTTTGGTTCTCTTTTTATATCTCTGAATTTATTTTTTATCCTTTCCTTCATTACCCGGAAAATATAAATATAAGACAGCCAATGAAAAATCCTACTTTCTATAACATAGTTATAATGTAAACAATAAACTAACTCTTTCTCTTTTTTTATAACTTCTAATTCTTCTTGAGTGTTTACTTCATCGTCACTTTCTCAATCGCTACTACGGTCTTCCTTCCTTTTTTTATTTACATGTTCAGGGGTTTCAACAGTTGGTTGTGAACTTAATTTTGGATCAGTTAAATGATCATGAGCTAATTTGCCCTTATCGCGAAACTTTTTATTTAGTATCACAGATTCTTCTTTATCTTCCTCTGCTTCTTCACCAAGTGATAAAAGATTGAAATGTCTGTAACAAAATTTTTCGTAACAAAGAATAACTCTACCAGGGCTAAATTCTGCAAACATATATGATTTTTACCTTACTGCTGCTGCTTTACTTTTTGAACTGTCCTTTACTTCTTCACTTTCCTGTACTATTATTCTTGGTATAATATTAGAAAATGGATTGTTCGATATTATAGATTTTAACAATCTTGGAGGATAAAGTAATCTATCATGTTACAAAAAAGTGGAAATATGATATTTATATCATTTCTTGACATATTTTCCTGTAAACATTAAATTTACCTTATCTACAAGTGTTTCTTCAAGTTTAAGCATGTTACATATAGTTTCTCCAGTAAATTTACCAAAGATTGTATGTTTCTACTTAATTACTATATATTACATATTACAGATAATATGTAACGTATATTATATACACGTATATTTAAGTAAACAATGAATATAAGAGAAACGCTAAGAAGTACTGCAATATGTAAGATTATGGTAACGATGTGCAAAACAAGTACAATCATGTAAAATTGAATGCAACGCTGAGGATAATGAGCGGGAAGAATAGTGAATGACAATTACTTCAAGCAAAATACGGCTTTACCCTTGGGATATAATGATAGGTAAAAATTACTCGTGAAAAATTGAATGTAGTGGTAATGACACGTGTAAACGTGTAACGCTCTGCCGTGTTAATTCGCTAAAACACAGTCGACTATTTTACATTGATAAAATCGAGAACTAAAATGATCAGAATTACTATTTCAATTTAGATGAAATCGTGAGAGAAAACTAGTAGCATAAACAGCATAAGCACATTAAATTATAATTTTGTGAAATACAAAATAAATATAATATACAAAATAACATGAGTAATATTAATGACTTGAATAAAACAATTAATTTTTGAATAATTATTCTGTTCGGAATTAATATTTTTTCGATTATTGCTAATAAAAAAGGAAAAAGAAATGATTAAAAATTTTTGAATAACTTATGATATGCTGTAAATTGAATTTACATAATACAAACTCATTACATACAATTAAATTAAATATTCATTCAAGAACAATTTTATTTCTTAGTTTATTTCTAACTACTATTTAATTATTTTTGGTAATAAGAAATGATTTTATTTCAGCAATAATAATTACAACATTAATAAATATCGTTAAAAATATAATTTCGTAATTATCATATTATATTATAAATGGGTTTTATAACTACTTTATTTCTGATTAAAATAAATAAAACAATTTTATCAAACAGACATGAAATTAAGTTTAATAGTAATAAAACTAACAATAGCAACAATAACAATTAATAATCAACAAAATTTGATTTATTGGACATTTCTAATAAAAATAGTATAATTTCGGTTACTAATAATAACCTTGAAATCGAATTAAAAGAACGAAAGAGGAATACAAATTAATTTCCTAAATTATTCACAATAAAAATGATGTAAAATGTTAATTTTGAAAGTACAAACAGTGTATCGTTCAATTTAAAGGAAACTGAATTTGACTAGGAAATAAATTACTATATTTTTTTGTAAATTATTAAAACAACAAATTTATGTAACTTAATGCCATTTTTACTAAACAACAATTCATCATTTCCTAGTAACTTGTTCAAATTATGCATGAAAATATCGCTTATAATGTATCTGTAATCCCACTCACCTTCTTAATTTGAGACCTCAAAAATGGCGGAAAAATGATTGCACAGATCAAAACTCCAAACGCAAACAACGAGCCACCGATGATTCCCAATTTCTTCGGCTTCATAGTAACACACTAGAACAATCACAATTATCGGTATCAATCCAACTTTGTTCCTTTAATAAACACTTTTTCGAATAGATCCACCATATATAGTAATTTACAGCACCAACAAAGAAATAATAACATTAAATAGGCAAAATATACGGGAACAATAACTAGAACAGTGTGTACATGTTTATAACTTTCTCTTGGAACTTTCAAGATACCATAACTATAAACGAGAAAACTTTGCGAACCGAACATGAATAGTTTAAACAGCTACTATACACAATCAAAGTCAAAACTCTCCTTCAACCTATAAAATGGAGAACAAAAAAAGGATAAGAGAGAAAGAACAAAGAATATGTAATAAAATTCACAGTTTTCACTTTATCACATGACGGTCAAACACGATCGAAAATCGAAGATCCATGAGACTACCTAAAGTCTTAAACACAATGACTTTAATCAAATTCTTCGAAACCTTGCAAACTCTGGAAGCATGCAGCGTTTTATGAAGTTTTCGTCCGGTCGTTAGAAACGAAAAAAGACCCAAAAGCGACGAGTATAGGGTTACGTTGACGCTGCGACGAACGAGACGAACCATTAAAGTGTGAGCGACGCGCTCGAAGCGCATTCTTTTGAGAATCCTCGAAAGCTCGTTCGAACGCAAGGAGCTCGTCTGACTCGAATTACTCGCAAAGTATTTTCATCGTCGTGTTTACGTTATTAAGCTTCTTCATCTTTACTGCGAGAAATTGTATTTCCCCTTTTCCTCTCGTTTTTATTTTCAGTCTTTGATTAGATTTTACTTTTATTTAGGCTTTACACTTTGGTTAACTTTTAACGAAATTTTATTCGCGAGCTTTTCGCACACCTTGAAATGCTAAGTGAGCTCGAGGATACGATGTCGGTGGTCTATCGAAAAACGTTGACGAAGGTTAGCCGGCTCCCTCGTCCTGTGCCGTCGATCTTCGAGTGTTCGCGTGAAAGAACTGACACGGTTTCGAGTATCGCTTAACGTCGCCCGACGACGACACTGGCCAATGCGCCCACTCCTGCGTTACCACGTATGATTTTTACGCTATTTGTACGCAAGTTATTGTCAACACGGTTTGAAACTTACAGGACAGAAATTAATGGCTCTATCCTTTTTTGGAATATGCATCCAAGGGTTGCGAAATTTAACCGTTAACGAATGAATTTCAAGAATATATTTTCGTAGATTTGATAATACAGAATGTTGCAACAGAAGGGGCTAGGAGGTCATAAATATTATAAAAAACCGTAAAATATATTGAATTTGACGGGATGCTAAAATAAGAGGAATTAAAATTTGGTGAACTTTTAAGGCTAACCAACATAGGTCTCAAGTCTCCTTTATTGTAATATAAAATACTATTGATGTTATGAAGGTGTAGTTAATAACATTCGATTGTTGACAACATATTGTAAATAATATGTAAACAGAGAAATTGATTCGGAAATATATTAGTATTAGATTGTATAATTTAAGAACAGGAAGAACCAAACAAAACCTCTCCTTTTCTCTCTCTTTCTATCTCATTCTCTTTGTAATTATTTTTAATATACCAGATAAAGCATTTGTATTAAAAAAAGCCAATATAAAAATTTGAAAACATAAAATTAATACTATCACTATTGCCATAAAGATTATATTATTAAAAATATTCAGCGTTCATCGTCATAATTATACATAATAAATGCAGGAGAGTACAGAAGAGTAACAAATAATTAATAAATAATGAATAATTAATTTTCCCACGATGTTATACTTTTGAAGAATAGTTTCATTAAAAATTATATTTAAAATTAATTTAAATTTTCAAGTGCTGCTTTTACAATGTCTTCATTTCAAAATAATTGGAATGAAACTTTAAGTGCCTAAAAACAAATGAAGAAAAATAATAATCCATAAGCGTAAAAGTGAAAAGTAGCAAAAATATTCATTATACATAGAGAAACTATAGACACCAGTAGTCTCAGTCTCTTCATCTCATTTTTCATTTTCTTTAGCATTTTTATTTATGCTTAATGATGATAAAATGGTAGAATTTCATTCTGATATCGCCAAGTCAGTGATGACCGATTTAAAATTCGAACAAACATTTTGAAATAGTTAACAACTTTAATTCTGTGAAATTTAACAATTTCTCAAATTTAATTACGTACAAAAATTTTGCGTATATTCCGATGATTCATGGTGTTGTATAGTGAAAGTTAGGAGAATTTCATTCCAGTATTCCTGAATACACCTATATTACAGTACATTTTGTCTTTCAGTAGGCTTTTGACAATTAGATATGATAGAAAATTTTGAATTTACCTAAAATTATCAGATTCTGAAATTAATATCTTTGTGGTAAAATATAGTTAAATTTACTTAATAAGATTCAACAGAGTTAAACCAAAAGTTATAAAATAAAATATCTCAGTTGATTTAGTAATTATACAATGTATTATATAACCGTAGCTTATGTAATAATTATGCGTATAATGAAATTAAAAAATAATAACAGAAATATCCTAGTTTGAAGTAATAATTAAGATATGTAATGGCAACATGGCGTGACAACTTTTTACGTCAATAAATTATTACATAACACTGAGATTATTAAAATAATTTATGTAACATTTAACGAGATATGATTTCCCAAAAAAGTACGAAAACAAACATCATTTGCATAGTAAATTATTTTTACAACATTCAGTCAATTCTTCTTCCCATTTCCAATCGTAGAAATTTATTTTTTGCTCCTTATTTTTAATATTTCATGACACCTAACATAACCTAACATAAAATTCATCATTATTTTTAATCCGTGATTAATTACCATGAAAACCTGAATTTCTTACCAATCTCGTACACTCGAGTGGCAAAACGTGTAATACTTTGCAAAAGCAACGGATTTTCGCTTTTATAGATTTATTTTATAGATCTGTTCCTCCATGACGCTGTTCTTTGGTGTCAAGTGTAATACCTATCGAGCGCGAAGGTGCAGAAGAATGTATTAAATATGAGATTCTATAGTTATCCGTTACTGGAACACGCTCGAATCGGAAACTTTTACATTATCAGTTTCACTTATGACACGGTTAAGGAAACTGCATAAAATGATAAATACTTTTAAGTACTACAAAAACGCCAGACACTCTAAAATGATTTTAAAGACAAATTAAAGGTTATGGCATTAGATTATAGCATTCTTATTTATTCAATATTTTTCGAATGTAACTTTTTACCATTAAGTCCTTAAACTTTTATTATTACATTGGTATATTGTTTCTCTTGATTCACATTATCGTTCATTTTCAGAGATTTTTGTGCTGATGACTTTAAATCATAATTAGGGATAAGTTTATGTTAAAGTGGGATATTAAAACATGGCGAAACAAGCAGTTTATTATACTTTACGAGCAGTTTATTTCGTTAAATAATGTATGGACAACATCGAGTTTGACGAATCGGTTGACCTTTAACGATGGTTATGATTATATGCATGTCAGTCTTGCACGTTCGGGTGCGACTTTACACTAATTCTATGTATGTAAGCAATGCAGTATTACCAAGGTCAAGTTAGTGCATTTTCTTGACGTGGATCTGTGACATTATATATTTAACACGGCCATTCCTAGAATTTTGGATTCAACGTTGTGTTGTCCTTGAATTAACCCTTTGCATTACGAATTAATTATGAAAAATTATACATTGAAGTACTATTTAATTTTAGTTAACCACTATATACGTATTCCATCCACGATGAAATTAGATACAAATTTTAGAAATTCTTCGAATTTTCTCCACGTTAAAACGCATGCAATATGATTATGGTTGCGTGATTAGTTAGCTTATAATCATGAATCTTGGCATGAAGAAAGATTGTATGTTTATTCTGCAAATCTGGTGTAGAACTAAGAGTAAAGAAGAATTGGGAACCATTGTCATCTTTTCAGCATTAGCCATAGCAATTAAATCTCGTCGACGAAAATGTCATTTTGTATGAAATTTTTCCTAAAACATATATATCCAATAATTATTTTTGAATAAAAAAGAAATTCATCTTATTTGTAAATATAGTCTCACTTTAAATGGTTCTCCATGTATTTTACCACCTTCTCCTGTACGTGTGGGATCACCACTTATGTTATAAATCCTTTGACAATTCTATGAAATATAGTTTCATCCCAATAACCATCCATGCATAATTGTATGAAATTTCTACATGTCTTTGGAGTTTCTTTGGCCCATAATTCTGACTCAATATCACCAACAGTTGTTTTCATTACAACCTAGTTATAACAAATATATTAGTTTGATTAATGTAAAATACTTTTAAAATAAAATTTATTAAAATTTATTATTTATTATTGTAATTCAAATTAGAAATTATTTAATATGTTAATATAGAAATTTAAAAAGTAAATATTGTATATTGGTTCAAATTTTAAAAACAGATATACAATCCATTGAAATATTATTAACTTATACTCACTTTATCCAAAGTGCCTGGCTCTTGCATATAAATATTACTCATGTTTGTATGTCTCCTATAATAAAAAAAATCCTTCGTCAATAATATTTCATATTAAATCTTTAGTCATATATAAATCAGTCAATCAAATAGTTCTTTTCTCGAATAATCATCAGCAGGTAAGA